AAGACTTCATTTCAGAAGGAAGTGTCCTGGAGGCCTTCCATAGCTGCAGAGTAGAAGCCAGGCTTGGTTTCAGGGACTAACGCAGCTGGTGACTTCTTGCTATTTCTCTGTTCTGAACATCCTAAGACCCTTAAGGATACTAATTCTACTCTGTGCTCCATAAACGGAACATGAACGCTTGGCTGACAGCGCATCTGTTTTCAACATGGTTTCCTGGATATTCTGAGCCCACTGTTGAGACTGCTTAGAGGGAGGGAGGGAGAAAAGATTCCTCTCCTCTGGTGGGCCAGGAGCTTTCTCTGAGACGGACAGTGAGACAATGAGATTACAGTTGTTTTTTTGCATACAAACCTAAGAGCTATTCTGCAGCCTATGGTTCGAGAAGGATGTTTGACTTTTAAGTCTTATCTAATAAACTCATTTTCTAATGCTACACTCGCCACACGTAATGATTTCTTCTGATGAGTAGAGGCACGGCAGATTGGAAAACATTCTAGAAAGAACTCACCATTCTGGATTTATTTAAAAAACACTTGCAACACATAGGAGGAGCTAAAAATATCAACACTAAGAGGAGTTGGAGGAAGCTGATTCCTACCACTATGTTTGACTTTGAGAGGTTCCAGTCTTTGGGGGCAACAACTGGAAATGTAATGCGGACAGAAAAAAAAAATTTTACAATCTCAAGCAAGAAACGCATTGCTGCTTGTGGATAAACGAAGAAATTGGTTTCATGATCTGCTGGTAAAGGTGTTTGGTCTTTGTTGAAGTAGAATTAAAGCACCTGCCCAGGGGTTGTACCACCTAGAGTGGGTTGGGCCCTTCCAAATCAAACAGTCATCACAAATTGCCCCACGGGTATGCCCAATTCAATGGAGGCAATTCTTCCACTGAGGTCCTTCCAAGGTGGTTCTAGTTCACGTCAGGTTGACAAAAATGTATCAGCATAGCTGTGCATGAACTTGGCACATTTGTAGATGACAATGTAAGAGAGTAGTGTCAAAAGGTTAGGCACCCCTGGACACATAATCCTGATAAGAAGTTTAGAAGACAGAATTGGTGCTAAGTGAATCGTCTCCTTTTTGGAATTCTGATTCTTCTAAATTGCCTTTATTATCTTAAAAACTGTGGCTTTATTCCCTGATTTAGAAATTATATCTAGCTTCCTGCAGGCTTTTAAAAAATGTCTTGAAAACAAGACCCAGGAGCAAGGTGGGGATGCATATTATCTTCCCATATCTCCTAATGCTAACTGGCAGCCCCTCCAAACTTAGTCTCCTAAGAAACCTATCTACCCTACCCCCACTCATAATGCCACAATTTAAGTTATGGGGAAAGAAGCTTAGAAACACTGAAATGCCACTTACTTATGTGACTTTGCCTAGCAGAAGATTAAGTACATTCCATACATAGATCCAAGGACATTAGTTAAAGTTGTAGGATGAGGAAAATTTTCACAAGGCTCATTATTATCAATATACTGTGCCCTATGTCTTGAACCTAGTACCAGCATATGGGTATTCCAGCTTTAGCTGTCTAGACTAACTAATTCAGTAACTCACTCATAAAGGCTCCTTTTGTGGGCATTGTCAGTGCTCTGAATGTCTCCTGCTACCACTTACCAAAAATTGCTTACAGTGTACCCTATCCTGTCAGGTTTAGCTGCCTTTCTTCCCTAACTACGGTGAAAGTTCTGCGGAAAGGCAGCTCTGCTTTCTTGTAGATTCCAAACACCTAAAATAGGCCCTAGCCACATGGAACATAAGAACAAACTCACCTAGCTCACAATGCCAACAGCTACTTCAGGCTGGGTCACATAGGAAGCTATGACCAACAACAATATTATCTTGTCCTTTCTTCTCTCTGAAATGTAGAAGATGCAGTAATAAGGCAAGCACCTCCCATCTCTTGAAGAGAGCAGAGCTTTCGTATCGACTTGTCATTCACTTACCCACACCAGGGCTTCATCTCCAGTACTGAGAAATGAGGGCTCAAATTTAGGAACACTAGGATTCTTACACTTGGCCTAAAATTGCTTTACTTGTTAATGATATTAGAATTTTAGTTTCTGAGTCCATGAATCCAGCCTTTAAACATTTTCTTTCTAAAGAATATATTTAAATTTGGCTTAAATGGAGCATTTGGTAACGTAAGATGTATCAGTGGCACTATCACAAATGTCACTTGTGTTAGTGAGATATGCTAGGTTGGTAGAGAATCCACACCACAGTGCGTCCCTTTCTGTCTGTCCTGAAAAGCCCCTTCACATAGGAAAAATGAAAGCCGCTGGTCCTTATCACTTTCCTTCAGACCCTTTCTCCCAAACTCTCTTGAGATTCTGTAGAGTTCACTGCCTCTCCCTAACACCTGCTTGGCATTTTCAGGTGTTGTTTCTTTCCACATCGCCATATTCGAAGCGATATTGAAGGTCTTACCTGCTGGTCTAGTCCGTTTGGATATACTGTTTCTTGTCACTCAATTCATGTGTGGTGACAGCTTGGCCATAGTCGTCTTGCTACATCATAGGCGCGGCCAACTGGAAACTATCCAGGGCCAGAACAGCATAGGTGCTCCGGGAAGACCACTGAGGCTCAAAGGAATTTTTCCTTCTACTTAGCCATACATGTAGTTTAAAATCCTTTGGCATGAAAAAAAAAAGTCATTGGTTTGTTTTACATTTGAGGGGAACTTGGAACCTCAGAGATTTAGGTTATTTCTCAGCATCTGATTGGCAAAGAATCAAAGCAATACACAGAAATGTCTAGTGGGGCTATTGGGGGCATCATATAACAAAAGAAGGCCACAGTACCACTTAGCCCTACTCAAACGATGCACTTATCAAAGCCAGACCATTTCATATTGTTGCAATTTTATTACTTGAAATATAATGTACATAGTGATGACATACCACATTATCCCACAATAGTAGCTTACATTTATAATCTAAATATTCCATTGTTTGCTTAGGACAGCCAGTGTCTCTCCCTTTAATTACTTTGGGACCAATATATACACTGATGTCTATAAACTCAATTCCACATTTAGACCTACAGCAGAAAGCAACAAAACTGTGAAGCTGCTATTCTCGTGGGGCTTGCATGATACTGTGGCATTGTAGGTAGATGTGGTATTAAAGGAATAGCATTGTCTGTTGAGCAGACAGAGGCAATGGGTGGAGAAGGGAAACAAAAAGGAAGAGACCATGAGGGAGGACTTGGGAATGAGAGGTGACAATGGATGGTCTTTTCCTTGGTGAGACCAATCAGAGAAAGTGGCATTTGAGCTGAGACCTGAGTGCAGTAAGGGCAGCTGTATGGAGTCTGGGTAGGGTACTCCGGGGAAGAAAACCCGCAGAGGTAAAGAGTTTCAGATGCACACACACTCAGTGTAACATGAGGGCCTGCTCGTTGGGGTTTCTGTCCCACCTAGTACCCCACAGCGGGCAAGCCCCAAAGAAAATCACACACCGGTCTACATAAGTTATAAACTGATTGGCCCATTAGCTCAGGCTTCTTACTAGCTCTTGTAGCTTATATTACCCCATTATTCTTATCTATGCTAGCCATGTGGCTTGGTACCTTCTTCAGCCGGGTAGGTTACATCTTGCTTCCCGATGGTCTGGGCAGGAATGGGGGAAGAGCTTCCTTCTTCCCAGAATCCTCCTGTTCTCCCTGCCTGGCCTCTACTTCCTGTCTGGTTTCCTTCCTATGCTTCCTGCCTGGCCAATCAGCGTTTATTTAAAATATGATTGACAGAATACAGACAATTCTCCTGCACCAACTCAGTGCACTCAAACCACATCTGACCACACAGAAACGAACATGGGAAAGAAAGGCTGGTGTCTCCAAGGAGCCAGGGCCTCCTAGGATATTACAATCACTTTAGAAGTTATGTCAAGTATGATACCGGGGAGGGGTGCAGCTTGAACTGCCATTTCTAAAGGAGTGACAGAGAAAATGAGGATGAGGTGTTAATAAATACTGTCATGTTGTGGAGGGAGCATGTGTTGTGTGCTAAGCCCTGCGCCTGCATTATCTCCTTTAGCCTTGACATTAATTACTGTGGTTCTTCCTGGAGGACAGATGAGGTAATGATTAAGCATTTGGTCATGAATAATTTCTCCATAGTCACACACAAAGGTAGGAAGTGGCAGACCCAAGTTTTATACAATGCTGATATTGTAAATCCTTTAATAGCCGTCACGGAGTATCTCAATAGAGATCGTTCATTATGATTGACTTTTTGTCCCTTCATTTAAAGTCATCTCAGGTCTCCCATAGATTATATGATTACGCTGTGGTCTACTTATTTTCTGGGTAGTTTAAAAGTATGAGTGTTACTTTCATACATAATGATATTATCTTCAAAGTGGAAAATTTTGTAAAGTACTCAGAATGAAATCGTATTAAATAATTCCAGAGCACAGGCTCTTCATCTATAAATTCAGAATCATATCTTGGTGTCATTAACTTCCATAGTGACCTTATGTATTTCCTTGCCAATGCATTTACAAAATGTTGATCTGAGCCCAACATCCATAGGTTTTCCCCAGACTGACAATGAACTTGTCAAGAGGAGAGAGACTGCACAAGGATTCTTGTGCTTGCTCTTGAACCCCAGCAGAGTTGCTGCACACACTACCGTATTATGTTTGGGGATGAGAGAGAACAGAATGGGCATATGGTAAGGGTCATGGGAAGGCCAACTGTAGCTCCAGCAACCACATCTATTAGAACGTTTCCAACTGGTATATTTTTCCAGGTATAATTATCATTTCCTCTCACTCTCAAGGGTGTTCCAGACAAAACGGACTCATTTGACTGTGGCTAGCTCTAGCCATGCTCAAGAAGGCGATGTCTCTGAATATGATCTCCAGGCATGTGACTTGAATGCACTCTTGAGTTCCTGTAATAATGAATGGGTGTGATCAAAGATATATGATTACACAAGGGATAGATATATAAGAAAATAGTTTAATCATAATTATTTTTCTTCCACAGCCAAAAAAGAGCATAAAATGGAAGAAAGCCACTTGGAGAATGCGCAGAAAAGGTAAGTGGCTCTGATGCGAACTCAATTCTTTCTGACTAGGCATCCTTTACTTTTATTATTGTAAGGAATGTTCTCAATGCTGCACTACCATCTTCTCTAGACTTCCATCTAAAACTCTGCAACCATGAAGCACTAACTCCTCATCCTATTCCTTCCTTCCCAAGGCCTGGGCAGCATTGCTCTGTCTCCTCCCTCTGTAGTGAGGAGCTGCAGGGCAGGCCTGCTTTTTGTCCCACCTGGCTCCCACATGGCTAGCTTAGCCCCGGAAATAATAACACACAAATTGTATTCATTTAAACACTGCCTGGCCCATTATATCTAGCCTCTTCTTGGCTAACTCTTACATATTTGTTTAACCCATATCTAGTAATTTGTGTAGCACCACGAGGTGGTGGCTTACCAGAAAAGATTCAGCATGTCTGACCTGGTGGCTGGCTCCATTGTGTCTGCCCAGAGAGGAGAGGCATGGCAATTGCCTCACTTCCCTCTTCCTCCCAGCATTATGTTCTGTCTACTCCACCCACCTAAGGGCTGGCCTATCAAATGACCAAGGCAGTTTCTTTATTAATTAACCAATGAAATTAACACAAAACAGAAGACCCTCCCACATTATCCCTCCTTGTAGAGTCTTGTGCCATTTGACCATTTATGACTAACCAATCTCACCTACATTGTGTTGAACAATTAGCCCTTTGATCCCGTCTGTTGAGACATCTATGAACAGTGAGCTGAAGTGATACCTCTCCCATCACATAGGTCACGATCCTGCTTCATCTGCTTGCCTCTCCTTCCTGCTCTGGTCCTACACTACCTCATTGAAGTTAGGAAGAGAGTTGACTTTCTTTCCACATCATAACTGGATTAGACCACTTCAATAAATAGCTCGGAGACTGACTTCAGTTTCTTTGCTCAGATAGGAGAGGGTTTTTATAGACAAGGGACGGGTAGAAAATGGTATTGCCTTCTGTGCACAAAAACTCCCTCAGAAGTCAGAAAAGACCCTAGCCCCTCTTTCTGACTCCTGCTTCTCTAAGTAGACCCCAGAGGGCAGCCATCACCTCACCTGGTGAAACCCAGAATCTGACCATTCCAATCCCCGGGGGAGGGTTCTCTTTGTTAGTTCACCAGTCATCCCTCGGTGGTACCTCCCTTCTAGAAGGGAGGATATGGGGTCCTTCAGGAGAGAGTACTGAGACACATTTGACAGTTAAATATTCTAAAAGTTCCAGATAATTAAATGAGGTAACAGGGGAAGGAAGTAGCATCTAAGGAAATAAAAATAACCTTACAAAATAGATGAGAAGAAATTCGTGGTTATGAATGTAAGAACACATAAACTAGGGATGAGTCCTTCTCCTTAACTCTAGCCACAGTTCTGAAAACCCAGAGATAGGTGCCAGCATTTAGTCCTGCTTCCTGCTGTAATCTGCCAACAAAATTAAGATGCCGCTGAAAGCAAAATGAAGGGCAGTCTTGTAGCTTTCTAAGTGCAGACATGTCCTTGACTCATGAGCATCGTCCTATCATGATAATTGCTGAAAACTAAGACAATTACACGGTTGTGCTTTTAGATTTTTGGCTCTCCTCGATTGGACTGATCCCTGTATTACGCTTTCTTTCCTTGTTGTGTAAAATTAGTGTCAGAGACCTTCAGAGAGGAGGCTATCAACAAGGGCAGGCTGGGAGCAGGCCAGGCAGCAATTCGGCTTCCGGGGTGCACGTCAAGTTTCTAATCCCTTTTCGAGACTTTTGCTGAAGGGCGGGGGGGCGGGGGCACCTTCGAGAGGCCCGGGCTGCTGTGTATTAGGCATGCTGAGAGGAGCCATAACTTCTGGCTGTCAGCATTTTCCGTGACTTTGCGGCGAAGGTAGCGTAGCTTTCATGTCATCCTTGAAATATGTTAGATCTCATCTTTAATGTAGAAACCACGGTTGTTTGCTTGCTCTCTTTAAGGAGGCTGTGGTCAGTGTTGCAACATTCGTGTGAGCCTTAGTAAATTCTTAGGTTTTATTCTCAAGAGAAACAATTTACTCTGAGGCCAAGGGATATTTGCTTTTCCTAAGCAGTTTCTGAAGGCACGCATGAGAAAACAGCAAGGGGCTGTGTTCTGCTCTGGCATCTCCACACTAAGTGTAGAGCAGTTTCCATAGCTTTGAGTTCTTTGATAGAATCATCATCTGTACTTTAAAAAAAAAAAAAAAGGTTTGACCAGATTAAAAGGATGGTGGACTAGACAAGGAAGTGGAATAGGAGAGAATCGGGGATGGGCGTAAAGTGAGATGAAATGCGTTGATATAAAACAAAACATATGATTGGAAATTTTCTTTTTCTTTTTTTTTTTCAAGTGCAATGCTATTTGGCAGTTGTGTGGTGAGAACTGGACATTTAAAAAAGCAGGGCATCCTTTGTCGGCTGTCTGTCGGAGAAAATTGTCTCGGCAATTAAATATCAATGATTTTCTTGCCCAAATTTCAAGTTTCTGGTACAGTGTTCTGTGAACCAAAACTGAATTTTCATGACGAACATTTTGACTGGGTAGGGCATTAGTCTGGACATTATCAGAGAGTGGTGGGTTCAGAGTGTAGCTCTGAGCTTTTTCTTAAATAGAAGGAGAGTATTGCAGTCAAATGAGGTGCCTCCTCGGGGCGACAGTGTCTGTCAGCGTCACAGGGCTTTCATCAAAGCATGCCCAGGACTCTACGTGGTTCTTCTGAACAGAGTCACTTGCTGCCTACGTTCCCCAGAACACTAGGAAAAAACGTGCTGAAATGCAGCTGTCCCTCTGACAGAGGCGAGCGGGGCATCCCAACCCCACCACCACCCCCACACGCACGCATGCACACACACAGAGAGAGGCTGTGAGGACAGAGTTGGAGAGAGAGAACCTGCCCCGAGCCCACTGACATGTCTGGGGTAGATGTCAGCAGCACTGTCACTTCTGACTCTGCAACAATGTCTAGTGTGCCCCAATGTGGACTCAGATAATGCGGAGGTGTTGTAGTGATGGCAGAATCATGGCAGGTTGTCATGCGTGTTTATCACTGCATCCTGATATGGAATAGGAAGCTAACGAGTCCCTCTGAATACAAGGTGAACAGTTTTCTCTCCTGTGTCAGCGTATGTACAAATCTGTGTCTGGATAGAAAGTGAACACAAGGGAAGAGGGAAGATGATGGTGAGTCCTCCTGGGATGATCCGTGTGTGACATATGAGTCTGAAGGACGAAAGGAAGGAAATGACTGTCTGGTTTGGTAGTTGCCTGCGTCAGTGCCCATGAGCAACCAAAGGTGAGAGCAAGACACGCATCTCACAGGGAGTTAGGAACCTAAATAGAGACCCAGCTCTGCCAGCGGATGAGGTCATCCAGTCTTCCCAGACCTCCGTTGTCTCTCTGAAGAATGAGACTATTGGAAATGTTAACCTGTTCTATCTCTCTAGTTCTAAACCCAATAGCTCAGTAGGAAATCCACAGCCTGCCTCTGTTGGTTGTATAATTCTCTACATCCCCTCATATTACAATGAAAATTCCATGTTGAATGAAGTAAAGGTATATGATGTACGTCACCCATCTGGTTTTATCAGTATTTTGACAGCTGTAGATATAGGTGTTATGTCTGGGCTATGAGTCCACTGCACTACTTTCTTTGATTACCGGTTTTGCTCCAAAATGTGTGTGTTTGGAATTATCAGATAGTCCCCTCAGAGATTACTGCCATCGTTGCCTTTCTCCACTTACACACTTCTAGCCTTTTAATAACTAGGGGCCGAATTCCCTGGCCAGTAGTTTTAATTTGCATTAAAAACAGATTTGTTATTTACAGAAGCACACAGAATTTATGAGAATTGGAGCAGCAGCTCCAGCTTGGATCTCACCTAATCGTAGCCATGGAATCAATTAACAGTTCATCTGTGAAATGTGATAAAATCTTATGAGATACATATTGCCCAATAACCGAGAAGGAGATGAAAGTATGCTCCATAATAGTCGCAGGGCTTCGGGGTTTTTACAATCGCCACCGAATAGAGTCCCATTAGAAACTCAGTATTCAGGATGGCCACAAAAAAAAAAAAAAAAAAAAAAAAAAAAAAAAAAAAAAAAAAAAAAAAAAAAAACCACCGTGCCCGAACAGATGATAGAGCATTGAGTAATAAACCTGGCTGGCCATTCCTGCTTTGATTAGTTTCCAACACCCTTGAAAGGGGGCTGTTTAAGAGTTCTTGCTCTTGGCAAATGAGCCTGTGAAGCTTAGGGTGGGTGAGGGCAAGGGGGGGAGACTGAGTTCAGAGCTATAAATTGCTGCAAAGCTAGTGCCTCCATGAAGGGCTGCTTGGGAGGCCCAGTTAGGCTAGTGGGCAGGGCGCCTTCAAGGGGCAGGGCACAGCATTATCTAAGAGTCTACCTTAGAAAAACCAGAACACCTTTCTAGCCTGACTGGAGTTGTTGTTGTTGTTGTTGTTTTTAATCTTACCCTTGCTAGACACACAATTATGTCTTGTTTTGGATGTTGACGATTTATATTCTTGTATCATGGTCAAGGTTTAAAATGAAACTTTTAAAGGCCATATTATAGCATAAATTTCTTAAGTCTACCCTTGAGAAAATGAGCGTGAGATGCCAAGTGATGGAGCCAAGCCCCCAGAGCATGCCAGAGCGTCCCAGTTTTCCAGGTTTCCAATTGGCCATCTGACTGACTGTTACTGGAGCAGTCAATATGTCCTAGGCTGACATGTAGTCATTGAGCAGAGGGAAGATCAGAAGATTGACGTGAACTTCAGATGAGGAACAGACGTAAGTTATGTAACCCCTGGAACTGTGCTGTTCCTCAGTTCACACAGATAAGACATACTTACTAGTTTTCCCAATCATGGTGACTACTGTCAGGTCTACATAGGCTCCCTGGGGGTTTGGGGTACTCTCTAGTAACTACGAACCCTGACTCCTGTCTTCGGGAATGGTCATGTGGGAAACTTCCCAGGGTCCCTTCTCATCAACCTGATGGGTTTTGGCGTTGACAGTTCCTGATCCCCTCCATGTTCTCCCCTACCTTCTGCAGTTTTGAAGCAACAGTGGACTATTTTGGAATGAAGCCAAAGACTGGAGAGAAGGAGATCACCCCCAGCTATGTGTTTATGGTGTGGTTTGAGTTCTGCAGCGACTTCAAGACAATTTGGAAACGTGAGAGTAAGAACATATCGAAGGAAAGGTAAGGTCGGGTGAGGTGCGAATGCCCCTCCCCCCCCCCCAAGTCCGCCTTTTCAAGCCTTCTAAAGCATGCCTGTCTCCCATGTGTCAGTGTTCTTTCTTTGGCATCAAGTCGACATCCAAGAAGGATTCTTGTCTCGGGGTTCCCAGAGAAATTCAGGGAAAGCTTGCTGTCCCCACGGGCGAGATACGCTCACGTGATCTGATAAGCTCCGTTCTCTTAACCCCTTCCAATTACTAGCGAGTAAATGAGAGGCCAGTTGTGCTAATGCGCAACAGATTGCTTCTCTGGGTGTTTTCACGTTGGCCCAAGCTAAATGAGGCCGCTTTGCTGTGGCAGACAGTACAGACAAATAAAAGTGAATGCGTTTCCCATTAATATACTGCATTTGCATCAAAGGGAAATCTCCCCAGCTCAGGCCACACTTCACACAGTGTTGAAGCCCCACACTGGATTTACAGCGTCACTTCTGACTCCCCGTATCCTGCTGAGGACATCAAACTATGTGCCGCTCGGCCTCCTTGCAGCCTCTTGATTTTATTAGTTGGGAGTGAAAGGAAAAAAAAAATCAGCTCTGAACATAGGCACTGTGTGTGTTTGCTGGGGGTGGGAGGGAGGGAGGGAGGGAGAGAGAGACTAAGACTTTAGCACTGTTTATCAGAAAGGTCCATACCTATAATCCCAGTCCGTGAGACCAAGGCAAGAGGATTGCGAGTTCTGAGGGCAACCTGGGTTGCTATGACGATGCCATCTGAGAAAGAAATGTTCAGTGTGTAAAAGCTGAGAACTCACGGTGAAGATACAGTGAGGCAGAGGTGGACCCACAACACAGCAAGGTCGCATTGTTGGCGCATAACTGCACTTCACCGTGAGTGCAGAGGACTCTGGATGGCTCCGGAGTCGGTTCCCGTGTTGCCCCGGACAAATACTCCAGCTAGATCATCACCCCACGTAGACACTGAGCATACCAGGAAGTCTTAAATATGAACAATTAGGGATCAAGAATGTAAAACCTTAAGAGACGATTTTGAGAAAGTAGCTTGTTGGTCATATTATGAAAAGGAAATCCTGAAAAACGTCCCCAAATCTGTATTCTCACCCCAGGTATCGTAACTAAATTAACTTCCAGGGAACAGTCTTGCTGAGACTAGAAGAGTGCAGTTCCTCCTCCTGATCTGATGGTGACTTCTGCTTCATTGCCGGGTCACTCCATCTCCGCAGCCTCACCGGACTGCCGAGCCCCTGGCAGGGAGTTCCGAACATGCAGCCTTCGCTTAGAAATTTTCTAATCTGATTTTGAGTGTATTTCTTCATGAATTATCTCCAAAGCCTTAAAATGGTCCAAAAGCAAACAAACCAAAACCCAGAAGGGTAACTAATCGGTTTTTGTTTTAACAGATCGATAGAAATCTTGAACTGTGTTCTGAATTAAAGCACACCCTGCCCCCACACTCACAGAAACCAGACCAGACTGTCTGTGGTTCTGCTGTGGTGGTGTCTGGTCCTCCTTCTGAGTGACTTTTTCTCTGGTTCCCAGCACGGGCATTGGCAGCATTGTTTCCTGGGTACAGCTGGGAATTGCTTGCTTCACACTCTGTAAACCAGCACCTCCCCAGGGTCATGACTTCTCCTGATCTTTTAGCAGTTTCCGGGGTCTCTTCATTGCAGAGATGGATCACCAGCAAAGTGTCAGCCTAAAGCATCTCTGAACTTTAAGGATGGTTCGGGAAAGATTTTTGGAAGCAACACGCTTTAAAAAATTCTACCATTAAAAACATTTTAGCCTGTCCATTCAGGGAATTAAAATAATTATTCAGGATTTTCTTATGAAGGCTCTTTCAAAACAATTTTTTTCATGATAAGGAGTTTAGCTTTAATGCTCTTAAATGATATATTCATTTGTATAAAATAAGATGATTAACTTGTTATAATGAAATTAGAAGTAATTTGATTGCTTTGTTGACACTTACTTATTTAATGATATTTGATGTTATATTTTTGATTACAGTTTTCCCAGAAACAAATTGAATCTCGGTAACACTAAATGCCATGAGGCAATATAACATCACTCACAAGAATTGTTCAAAGGCACTCTTAAAAAACAAAATCCATAGCCAAATGAAAGCTTGATATCATGTAACTATTTGGGGGGAAGAATTGTGGTTTGGGAATCTCATCACAAGAAATTGAGATCACTTGATTTTTAAATGTGCTTGAAGGCCAACTGAAACCCAAGAAGTTACTGGAAAAGACTAATCAATAATAGCATTTTCAAAGAGAAAGACCCAAAGGTACATGTCGTTTAGACCCTGCTTCCACATGAAATGAGTGTGACTGCTTTATGTCACCGGAGGTTAATTTTAGGTAACAGAATATTTACTTATTTTTCTGCTTAGTGTGGTTTTCATGAATATGCATTAGGCTAATACAACATTGAGACTCATGTGCCTTCAGTTTTCATGAATATGCATTAGGCTAATACAACATTGAGACTCATGTGCCTTCAGTTTTCATGAATATGCATTAGGCTAATACAACATTGAGACTCATGTGCCTTCATAGCAACTCCCCCTTGTAAAGCTAGAGCACTCTCTAAATGTTGTATTAAAACGCCCGATGTTGTTATGTCCTTAAACTAGTAAATTCTGTGGTTAAGAGTGGAGAGGGAGGATGCCCTGTGGACATGTCATTAGAAAAGCAATTTACTACATGGTAATGTATCAATGGCTTTAATTTTTCTTTGACATTTAAGCCAGTGTTGGGAAAAAGAGCACGTTTCCATGTGTAAGCACAAATCCAGAAGGTTCCTTCTCTATCATTGTTTGGCCCCCAATGGTGATACTTATCCTACAGTGAAGGCTACTGGTGCCTTCTTCTGTTCCTTCGAACAACAGACAGTGCTCAGTAGTACGAAAGGGACCTCTAGATAGAGGTTAGATTTCAAAATCTTTCCCCTTCACTTCGCCATTAATTCACAAAGATTCGCCTGCCTCTGCCTCCCGAGTGCTGGGATTAAAGGCGTGTGCTACCACCACCTGGCTTTATCTGCATCTCTTAACATCTGAAACACTTCCTGGATTCTTGATACACACCTTTTTCTATCCATAAAATCCAAATATTATCCAATCACATGTGTAACAACTGCAAGAACCTAACATTTTGACTGCTATTTCTATATCCCATTCTCCACTCATTTTCTGTATTTTTTTGTTTTTCTGTCCCATGGGATCCTTGCTTCTAAAACATTTCACCAGCTAGGATATCTTCAGACATTTCCCACGTATGCTCACACATGCACACAAGCCACGCAGTGAGCTATGAATTAGGAAAAGGTGAAGATGGCCCAGGGGAGCCAAGACTCCAGGAATGAAGTCCCTGCAAATGCTTCACCCTGAGCCAAGGCAAACTTTAAAAGTGCCACTTAAAAAAACCCACGATGGGCCAGGGAGGAGTGAACATGAAGTCTTATAAACTTTATGGGCAATGCAAATAAGAAATTTCATTCTGTGCATAGTTGTAATTTACATCTTGGGAGAACAGGGAGTTCCTTATTTTGCTTTCTTAGTTCCAGCTGAAGACCAAGAGGATTTTGTTTTGCGTATATACCATGAAGCTATTGTGATTAATTGTGCAGCTACCACAGCTCTGACAGCAGATAGAGCCAGGCTGGGTTAGGGGATCTCTCAGGCTGTTCTCAGAGCTCTCTATTGGTTATGCTGCTACAGGACCAAGGACTTAACAAGCTTATCCCTCCACCCACTTAAGTCCACTGATTGCAGTACAGTGCTGCAAGAATCCGTTTTTTTTTTTTTTTTTTTTTTTTTTTTTTTGGTTTTTCGAGACAGGGTTTCTCTGTGGCTTTGGAGCCTGTCCTGGAACTAGCTCTGTAGACCAGGCTGGTCTCGAACTCACAGAGATCCGCCTGTCTCTGCCTCCCGAGTGCTGGGATTAAAGGCGTGCGCCACCATCGCCCGGCAAGAATCCGTATTTTTATATGGTCGCGTTTTCCCTGCAAAAAGCTCAGTTAACCTATTTATTGATTTATTTATTTAATTTTGCTCCTTGCTGACATACATGCATAACCATTCCAGTGACTTGGAAGAAGTCAACTTTCTTCTCCTTAGCTGTCCACTATATAGGGTTATGTTCACCTGGCCACTAAAATGCTTCAGGATTTGAAGGAATCCCTTTAAAATGCAAATAATCAACCTCTAGTTATTTGACAATGCTTTGAATTTCCCTGTCATAGCTGAAAACAGTTATGTAAGCCCACAAACAGTAAGAGCCTTCCTGGACCTAATCAAAGCACAGGATTGTCATAAACGCAGAAAGGAAAAAATCTCCTTGCCTTACCTGCAATTAACTTAAATCTACTCCTGCAAAATTAAAACTATGTCCTTCAGGTTCGATAGATGGCTCATCCATTAAAGGCTCAGGCTCACATCTGAAAGGATGGGTTTGCCATGAGGAAGGGTTATAAGACTGTGGAGAGCAAGTGTAGGTGTGGATGTGCACATGAGTGCATGTACATTGCCCATGGAGGCAGAAGAGAGCATTGGATCCCCTGGAACTGGAGTCACAGGGGTTTACAAACATCCCATGTGGGAGGTGGGAACTGAACTTGTGACCTCCAGAGGAGCAGCCAGTGCTCTTAACTGCTGAGCCATCACTGATTTTTTTTTTTTAAGACCATCTTTTGGCCTTTCTTCACCTGGGTACCATTATCATTTCTTCTACTTTCCAGCTTTGAGAGTTCACTATTCATTTCTTTCCTGGTGTCACCTTCTCCATCTCAGTAAGGATTAAGTTCTCACTCCCATAACAAAAACCAAAATAACTATTCCTTAAAGAAAACAATGTATTTTTCCCCTTGGACAGCAACGTGGATGTAAAGAGTTTTACGGTTGGGGACCTGGTTTCCTTCCTTTTGTAGCTGTCATTCTTAAGAGGTGGTCCTTATTCCCAAAAGTGACAATGACTCACATTGTGCCCGCCTTCAC